CAGATTTTACACTGGGATACTTTAGTTATGTTTACTGAGTAAGCATAAAAGACGTTTAATGTTTATAGAATCCAAAACTCTAAGCTGAAATTCCTATGAGATAAAGATTTTTATACATAACACATGTGAGATCTAGAGAGAAAATTAATCAAAATTGCATAGTTAAAACCTATTTATCTGAATGTACAAAGTGAGGGTTTTTCTACTTTTATATTCTGATTTTCCACTGTGAACCTGAATGTCTTGATTGTCTAAATTCAGAATAACAAAAGGTAGTATGAGAGTGAATAAACCAAGAAATCAAAATATGGCTGTATTCTGTACCCCAAACTATTGTAAGCTTTCTATCATTAGTATTTCCCAAATGTCTCTTAAATAGTTAATCGCCAAAGAAATTTTTTTTAAAAAGCAGGGAAGACTGAAGTTTATTTTCATTTCTCCTGATTTAAAAAAAAAATCCTTTACTGAACATTTATATAAAAGTTTCTTCATGTGCAGAAAGAGACAATGTTCATGTTCATAATTTCAAATTCACTTCAGCTGAGAAGAGTGTTACAACATTCAGGAAAAATAAAATGGAAAACCATCTGCTTACCCATATGTGTGGAGTCAAAATGTCATGGGAAAGCTGGAGCTTGTAAGAAGAGTGGGTATTACATTGATCAATCTTCTTTACTCACTGTACAGGATTTTTGATGGTGCTAGCTATTATTGCCTTAAACATTCTCTATTTTTTTATTTGTTTTTTAAATCATAAGATAGTGGTCAATAAAAATAAACAAAACCAAATAAGACAGAGTGCCATTTTTCTCAGGCCAGAAACAAAAGTGGATCTTGGAAGTACAGGTCATGACAAAACGTGTTTTATTTCAAGCATTCAACTTGCAAAAGGTCATTCTCCTTATAGAAAGGATAGCACCTGTCTGATATACTTGTATCTTCGAGGGCAAAAGCTGTTGAAGCAGAAACATGAGTGGCTCTTTCTTCCTGCTGGTTATTTCTGTTTGGTCTTTTCAGAGGCTAGGTCCTTTCATTATCTGAGAGGAAGAAATTAAGTACATCTAAGACTTAAACACCTATCAAATTGTTCCAATAGAGTTTTCTTAGGCTCTGGGACGCCTAAGATTTAGGGTCCTCAAAGGAAATCAGACTAAGTTCAAATAAGAGCTCTTTTAATTCCGTATCCCTCCCTGATTGTTGGGAAGCAAATTAAATATCCTGAGATCATTCATATTTGGTGATAATTCAGCTGAGATTCAGGCAAGGTAAAAATCCCAGAGAGGGTTGATAGCCGAGGGCTTAAGGCAACAACAAAGTCCCAGGAGAGTAATTTCTTTAGTCTGAAAGCAGACCCAGATGATATAGAACATTACCCACTACAGTCCACCCTTATGTCACTTAGATCTATTTGCTAAGTTTTGGGAGCAACTTCTCCAGAATGCTTGAGCCTCTTCTGGGGGCAAAATTTATGAGACAGAAGGTTTGTGAAAAAAAATACAACCCTCACATATAAAGCTGGCCATAAGGTCACAACTAATTCTCAGTGTTTCCTCCTCTGTTACCATGTCTACATGCCCCTCAGCTTTGGTCCATCCCTTGGTTAATCTGGGTAATTTACATAGTGGGGTGACACAGACCCTTGTTGACAAGGATCTGAGCCCTTGTCATCGTGTTCTTCGTAGGCTATGCCTGCTATTTTTATCCATTTACCATCAAAAGTGGTGAAGGGAATAACAAAAGACCAGCAACTGGCTCAGTTGAGAGCCAGAAACTTTCCTCTTGACCCCAGTATGTAACAGAAGTCCTGCCTTGGCCTTATTCTAGTTTCTGTGTGGAGAGCTAATTACAGGCAGGGAAGGGTGAAAGCAGAAAAGCCAGTCAGATACTAATCAACTACAGAACAGCAAAGAGAATACTGGGCTTGGGCCCAGGTAGTGGTCATGAAAACTGTGGAAGGCAGTCAAGTTCTGGATGCATTTGGAAGGTAGGGCTAACAAGATTTGTTGAGAGAGTACATGAGGTATGAGATAAAGATTGCAGTCAAGAATGATTATTTTCTAAAACGTGCAGATCTTGAAGACTCCATTTTTTTGTCAAGGAGCTGCCTTTATATATCAAAAGATTTATTTTAGAAACAAGGTTATTCTCTGTTCCTATAAAATGGGATTCCCACTTCAGCAACATGTTTCTGACAATGATACTAACCATCTTCTCTAGGTATACAAAAGTACAGTCTAGTTGGCTAATATCAGTTCACCTCGTAAAGGGTCTATTGACTAAATGAGCTTAGCCAAATAAAATTTATAAGATCAAATAGAACAAGAATTTTCACAAGTGACGTCAGTTGACTCCTTCAGCTTTATCTCTTCATTCTACTTTGACTTGCTGATGCAGTAATAGAGAAGAAATTGTAGTACCTGAAATTGCCACGCTCTCTCTCACTTCTATTCAAAACTCCTCACCCCTTTTAAGACTACGCTGTGATGTAATCCTCCAGAAAACCTTTCCTCATATCCCTACGTCTGCTCTTCCCTGAAGTCACGCTGTTGTGTCTCGACATGTCTCATGGTATTTTTCTGATTGTACTGTAACTGAATTATCTTTCTAGATCTGCAAGTCCCTGAAAACAAAGGATCAGTCTGACTCGTTATTGTATTCCCAGCACCTTGAACATTTTCTAGCATAAAGAAAGTAGCCAGTAGGTATTTGTAAAATATATAGATGACTCCTATTTTATTTTAAAGAAGAGATTAGTACCTACCTACTCAAGAATGTATCAAACACTACTCTTAGAGGTCAAATCTAGAGCAAATGTCTAAACTTTAAGGCTCAAAATATTCACTTAAATGATTCATTAAAAATAAAGATAAAAAATATTTTTAAAGACTCTGATTTCGCTTGTTTGAATTGGGGCCAATGATAATTCTGATGTAGATTTCTTTAACAAACCAAACTTATAGACACCCTGGCCTAGGGTTCTCAGAAAAAAAATGAAAAACAAAAAATTCTCTTATCCAACCATGTAAAGTAGTATAATTGGCAGTTGAAATTAAGAGGTGATCTGAATCCTGAATTCTTATTTTTATCACAGAAAGCCAAAATCTACTTACAACAAAAAGCCTTACAAGAAGTTAGATCTAGAATTGAATTGCATTATGAGTAATGCATAAAAGATCAGCCAACCCCACATTCTAATACCTACAAATTTAATCAGCTTTATTCTGAAAAAGTTTATTTAGCTAAACTTATTGAAAATTCTCATTGTTCATTATTTTTTAAATGTCAAAGAGCTCATGATTATCTAAAGGATGTTAATTGCTAGGTATCTGTTCAATATATTGCAGTTAAGATTTTATTTATTGTTAATTGTACATTATTTTTAAAATTAAATTTGTACAAATTTAAATTGTGTAAATTTTTTAAGTGACTTACTTTTTCAAACACTGGACGAGAACCTGTTTACATAGGAATCAAATGTATTTCCATCAATTCCTCTTTCTTTTGGTGAAGTATAAAAGTCAGCATTTTCAGGTAAATTTATGGCTTGGTTTCTGTTAAGTTTGAATTCCCTTCCTATTGCCTTTCTAAGAAAGAAACTAATAGTTTTTTTCTAGAGGAAAAATCCCTAAAAATGGGGTGTTTTCAAATCTGTCTTTGAACAGGGAAGCATAACCATCCAGAGCAAAGCACCTTGAGACACACAAGTTTCTTCATTTCTTAGCAACATGAGACGATGCTGAGCTGGAATGTCTCTAGGGAAAAACTGAAATGCTGTGTGTGTTAATATTTCTATTCCTTTTGTGTCAGTCAGTTCTAAGTAAATGGCCATGAGGCTTCAAGTTTTCTTTAGTACACAAAGTGCCACCTCTAAATGTAGTGTCTTTTTGGAAGTTAAAAAAAAATACCCCCAGGAAATTTTTTCTCAAAAGAAAAGATCTCACATTCTACTTTGAATTATTTGAAGTACCTTCAATTGCCAATAAATTAAAATGAAACTGTCAGTATGTAGACAACTGGCTGGAACCACTCAGATATCAGTATCATCGTAATTCCTTTCCAGGTTCATTTTATGTGTCCTCCTGCCATATACTAGCAGGTCCCAAGTGTATGTCCTTTAGCAAACCATTCTTTCTCATTGTGCTACCCTCATGCATTGCTGGAAATCACAAATAAGTAAATGGGAAATAGCAGTAGAATTAGTGATGAATCTCCAGGTCCCCATTTAATTACTCTATCAAGGCAGGCTTCAAATGACCTTCCTGCATCTACCTTCTCCCCAGTTTATTTCCTCCCAGAGGCACAGGCAGATTAATCTTCCCAAAACTTCACTTTGATCATGTCACTTCATATTCAAGAATCCACGTGACTACCCATTGTTTATAAACTAAAGGATATGCTGTATTCTTTCCTTTCTATGCCTTTAATCACACCATTTATTTATTTATTTATTATTTATTTTTAATGGGAGAAAAGGAAGCAAATTTTGTTTTATTTTTTCTTGATTTTTTAAATTCATGTATAGTCAGTTTACAATGTTGTGTCAATTTCTGGGGTACAGCATAATGTTTCAGTCATACATATGCATACATATATTAGTTTTCATATTCTTTTTCATTATAGGTTACTGCAAGATATTGGATATAGTTCCTTGTGCTATACAGAAGAAACTTGTTGTGTATCTATTTCATATATAGTAGTTACTATCTGCAAATCTCAAACTCCCAATTTATCCCTTCCACCTCCTTTCCCCCTCATGTTTGTTTTCTATGTCTGTGAGTCTGTTTCTGTTTTGTAAGTAAGTTCATCTGTGTCTTTTTTTTTTTTAGAGTCCACATATGAGTGGTATCATATGGTATTTTCTTTCTCTTTCTGGCTCACTTAGAATGACAATCTCCAGGTCCATCCATGTTGCTGCAGATGGTATTATTTTATTCTTTTTTATGGCTGAGTAGTATTCTGTTGTATAAATATACCACAACTTCTTTACCCAGTCATCTCTTGATGGATTAAATGTCTTAGCTATTGTAAATAGTGCTGCTATGAACAGTGGGATACATGAATCTTTTTACGTTAGAGTTCCCTCTGGATATATGCTCAGGAGTGGGATTGCTGGATCATATGATAAGTCTACTTTTAGTCTATTGAGGACTCTCCATACTGTTTTCCATAATGGCTGCACCAAACTACATTCCCACCAACAGTGTAGGAGGGTTCCCTTTTCTTCACACCCTCTACAGCATTTATCATTTGTGGACTTTTTAGTGATGCAACTCTGATTAGTGTGAGGTGATACCTCATTGTAGTTTTGATTTGCATTTCTCTGATAATTAGTGACACTGAGCAATTTTTCATGTGCCTATTGGCCATTTGTATGTCATCAATGGAGATTTGCTTGTTTAAGTTTTCTGTCTATTTTTAATTGGGTTGTTTTGTTGTTGTTGTTGTTGTTGTTGTTGTTATTAAGTTGTATGAGTTCTTTATATATTCTGGAAATTAAGGCCTTGTAAGTTGCATCATTTGCAAATATTTTCCCCCATTCCATAGGTTGTCTCTTTGGGACATTCCATCTAAGTGCAACCACCGGAGAAAGCCTAGGTTAAACCAGCCTAGGAACTGCCCAGTATACCACCAAAATTGTGATAATACTAGTGCAATATTGTTTATACCACTTAGTATTTGTTTTTCAGTTTGTTATGTAGCAAAACAGCTGACACGTAAAGTACGTGTTAGATGTAATTTTAGGTGCCAGATATTCATTTCTAATAAAAAAGATAGGCAAGGGCCTTGATTTCATGGATTTTAAAGCAGAGAATGACAAAAATAAATACATGCACAAGAAAATATCATATACAAACATATAAAGTAGTGACACATTTTGCATAGGGAATTAAAACGGTGATATAAAAGAGAGAGATTGGTAGTAAGGAAAGCCCATTTCAGGGTGACACAGGGACCCAGCCCTGTATCCAGCCTATAAAAGGGTTTTGATTGATGGCAGAGTGTTTTAATTTTGTTTCTGTTGTTTTTGTTGTCCTATTTTTAATAAATGTGAAAGCTTTTAAGAGAAACATGCCCCCTTTTCATCACAAACCCCTGGTCCTTAGTGTCTTATATTTTGGACTCTTCATATATTTCTTATCCGTCTCACCCTGAGGGTGTCTTGTATCTTGCATTCTTTGGTTTGTCCAATTCTCCTCGCACAGGCCACAGTATTCCTTTATCTCTGCTTCCAATAGCTCTGCTCATCCTTTACAACGCAGTTCAAATCTCATTTCTTTCAATAATGCCACCTTTCCACTTTCCCAAGCCTCATCTCCAAAGTGCATTCTCTCTTCAAAAGTATAAAATGGAGACCTCATCTCTCAGGAGACAGCGCCATACTTATCCTAGTGGTTCTGGTAATGGTTCCAGATAATTTATATAAAATATCGAACATAGCTCCTGGCACAAGGCACAATTAAAATAAGTGATGGAGATTGTCATTATCATTGTCATCACTTTCATCATTGTATTTAATCCTTTTTAATTCAAATATAATTGATTTAGTGTCTTTAAAGCATCAGTTATGGTACTAGTTCCTGGGGAGACAGAAATGAGGTGAGTTATCTCTCTATTATGTTATTCATTGTGGGTTAATGATCATAATCAGTACAGCACATAGACCTGGGCTGCTTGGGCCCCACCATGAACCTAATGCTTTGGAGGATCCCCATCCAGCCCTCTCCAATCCATGCTCTTTCCCACAGGACCAGGAGTCCACAGGGCCAAGGAAACATGCCCACCCAATACATCCCTTCTAGACCAGTGCTTCTCAAGCTATCTGTGGTGGAGAACCCATTTTTGTTCCATCTTTTCGTGTTCAATCTGTTGTGGACAAATATATCTGTAAAATATAATAAAAATGAATTTCAAGGTAAATTAAATCTAAAAGCTGACGTCAAATGCAAACCCATTTTTCAATGATTAAACAGGAATTAAAGGACCTTGCCAAACTGCTAAAAATAAAGTTTCTAAATTCTTACATCAATTTCTGCCCTTATTGTGTTGTAGACCAATAATAAATCTTTTCCAATCTGACAAAAGTCTGCAGAATACATTTTGAGTAACGTTGTAGTAAAAACTATGTTTGGAGTTCCTAGGACCCCAGAATTCCATTCCCAAATGAGCAGTAAGAATAAATATTTGGGTTAAGTAACTCTGGTCAAAAGGCAAAAAGTGGAATGAATTTAGGAATTATTACTGAGGTAGAAATGACAGGATATCAATTACGCCTATAATATTTATAATACCTTTGGCTCATCTCTAAGCTTTATTCTAATAACATAAATTCTTTTTTGTGCCTCTAAGACACATCAAGAATTGGCATATATTTTTGCTTAGAGCAGCACTAGTATCTTTAAGAGCCTCGATGCAAACTTAGGACTATCTTATTTCTAAGCCTCTGCTCTTTATCTTGCACCAAGCTTACCATTTCCCCATTTTAACTGTGTCTATTCCTTAGGTCCAGTCTTAGCTTCCTCTAACCTGAAAGTAAGGGCTATATATTTAGTCCTTGGAACTCACAGCATTGTATACCAACTGCTGTTCTTTGCATACAGCCCTTAACATGAAGCTATGAAACAACAAGGCTTTGAAAGAGATCATGGTTCCTAACTTAGGCATGTCGGGATGCTGTGATGTATTCACAGGGTCACCATGGGATATGTTAAATGTCCCAGGGAAACACAGAAACATCTTCTGGACACCTCAAGCACTATTAGCTCCAGTTTCTTCACAATTTCAAGATTGGATTACACTACTTTCCTTCTAGTGATACCTAACTTTGTGAAACATTTTTGAAGGTTGCTGAGATAAAAATTAAGCACCACAGGAAAGTGAATGTGGAGCAGAAATTAAGGTAGTAGTACCCCACCGAATTTTAAGCTTTGAGAGGCTATACAATGCCCAACAGGTGTACACATCTTAAGTAGATAATTGAAGTTATGTAAGAATGAAATACTTTTTTCTTTTGATTTATGTTTATTAATTCTTAAGTGGTACTAAGTTCAGAGGACATAAATACTTCATAAAATTCTTAGACATAACTACTTAACCAGTGAAACTGTGTGTTTCTTTTATTCTGGCCTAGAGCACCATAAAAAATTAGTTAAGTACTCAGGATACAAGAAACAAAAAACACTGGGGAGCTTCTCATATGAGGTTCACCTTATGCCCCCTTAAATCCTCCTTCATTACTTAGTGATTGTGTGATCTTGGATAAGTTTAACTATCCCATTTTTCACCTTTATTTTTCATCAAATGTGGATAATTGTGTCTACTGCCAAGATTTCCTATGAAAGATTAAGTGCAGTAGTGCTTAGAACATTGTCTGTATTCAGTAAGTGCTCCATAAATGTTAGCTATTATTGTTTCTGAGTTTACAACTTCAGTTCACATTCTTTCTGTGCACTAGGTATACTTTGTAAACCCAGTGTCTCTACTCATGCTTTGTGGTTTGAAAACAATTAAAGACAATTTTTGATTAAAAATAGTAAGATATATTACTACAGACTAGTTACCCTCCTCCTTTTATAGGATGAGATATTAGATGAATGGATACACAGAACACATTTTTTTTTGTTCTTTTGCCACATTCTACTTTATTGGAAAAAGGGGGATTTAGCAAAATTGGCAGAAGTACTGCTAAGAACACAACTGAATGGAACTGTATCATGAACAAAGCCACAAAAAGACAGTTTCTCTATTTATCAGAATCTCTCAGCTACATGGATGGTGATGTTCACAAGGAAGATTACAGATGCATAGGTAGGTAGCTTTATGGAATCTACAGGCAGGATGCCATTTCTTTGACAGCTTCTTTCTCCAGCCTCAGGGAAAAGCAACTGCCTGATTGAAATCATTTCCCTGGTGTGTGGAAGTGTAGGGGGAAGTGTAGGAAGAGCAGGTGGAAGTGTAGAAACTGAGCTGATATTCAAGCTTGCTGACAGGTAGGAGAGGTCATAAGACTGACCAGAGAGTACTCTCCAAGCCAGAGACCACAGAACTGAGCACAACACACATAGACAGTGCTTCCTTAGAAACCATTGGAGGGGATGGATATTTCTTGGGGGAAATAAAGAATTATAAACTGATAAGGACTCAGGGTGAAAAACAAAGTAGCCAGTGGGGGATATAACAGATGGATCTAATCCACTCTTGGAAGTGGAAGGCAGTGGTAGCGGTCAGAAGTGAACTCCCTGAACAAGTAATATTTCAATTGAGATGAAAAGTATGAGTAGATTAGTTAGGCAAGAATGAGGTTTTCTAGGCATAGGAAATAGCATGTACAAAGGTCTGGATAACAAGAAGGAACATACCATATCCCAGGGTCAGTCTGGCTTGAAACAAGGGCGAGCAGAAGAGGTAAGAGATGATATGATGCTGGAGAAGGAGGAAGGAGTCAGTTTTTCAAGGGGTTAGTAGGCAATTTAAGTATTGTAGGTGTAATTTAAAGAGCAAAGGGGAGACCTTGAAGGTTTTCAAATTACCTAGTACAAAACTAGGAAAAAACTCTTTAATTGGGGGCAACAGTGGATACTGATTAAAGATTTAGCAACCCTGTAATTCGTAAGCCTTCATTGCCCCATTGTTCCTTTTCATATACCCTGATGATCTTAATTCATATTTCAGAGATGATGAAAGGAATTAGAAGAAACTTGCACAAGTTTCCATCATCACCTCTACAAAATTGCATGTGTCAATATTTATATCCTCTGCCTCATCTTTTGACACTATGGAGGGAAGGTCATTCCTCCAATTCAAGGCTGATTCCTCCGTCTGTTCAGTAGACTTCATTCCCACATCCCGCATCAGCTGTCAGCAATTCCATTTCTCAGCAAAACTTTGAAAGAAGTTAACTCTACTTACTATCCAGCTCCACGTTTCTAATATCCATCTTCTCTCAAACTCACTACTATGATTTAATTCCCACTATTCTAGTCTAATAGCTATCAAGATCACCAATATAGCCTCCACACTGCAAAACCCTACAAAGTTTGACATTAGTATTTGACATAGTGGATCACTACTACTTTCCTGAAATATTTTTTTCTTGATTTCTGTGATTCTACTTCCTTTTGTTTTCTTCTCTATATTATTGGCTGACCTTTCTGCCCTATTTTCCAAATCTTTAGAAATTAGAATGTCTTAAGTATCAGTTCTTAGATCTTTTCCATTTCCTTCCCTTTTTTTCCGTTTTCTTTCCTTCTCTGCCTAAATATAATTCCTTTGGTTGTCATCCACTGTCAAGGCTTCACATTCTTCCTATTTTTTGATTTTCTACCAGAAAATCGCTTCCCTCAATACTAAATCCATATGACCAGCTACTTCTGTAAAATTTGCCTTTAATTGGTCACCTCTTTGCACCATAGACTATAAAACTGCCCCTCTCAGTTTCTCAGTAAATGGAAACTCCATTCTCCTAACTTCAGTCCAAATTCTCTTGGTATCTTTATTCCTCTGTGTCTCTCTCATTCACATCTAATCCATCAGCAAATCCTTTCGGCTATGCCTTCAAAATGTGGCCAGAACCAAATGACTTCTCGATTTCTGTGTAAGTAGCATCTTGTCTCAAGTCAGTTCTCATGTCTTTCTGGACCATTGCTGTAGTCTCCTCCTGTTGTCCCTGTTTCTAACCTTGCCTTCCAACAACTGTTCTCCACATACAAGCCAGAATAATACATGGAAGAAAAAAAAAAAGCGTAACACTATGCTTTTCCCAAAACCCTCAAATGACTTCCCATCTCACCTGACATGAAACCTAATGATATGACTCTGGTTTACAAGGTCTTATTTGTTCTAGCTCCTGCTTATCTCTCCAGCCACACTTCCTGTCATTCTTCCTCTTTCTCACTTCACTGAAGCTGTACTGTGGTCCTTGATGCTCTGTAAACATACCTCTGGCCTCCGCATCTTTACACAGGTTGTTTTATTTTCCTGAATGTTCTTCTGTCACGTATCTGCATTTATAATGGGTATTTTTCTTTTCAATTTTTGAGATTTTTTGTACTGATATTTCATGGAAGAAATTATATTTTAAAAGATGATTTGGAATACAATTATAAATTTGTTAAACACACAACACATTCATACACACATGGAGTAATATAATTATAACTGAAATTATAAAATAATACTATCCTTTTTTCTATGTGAAATACTTGACATTTTCTTTCTGTATTATATTTTTTTCTATTTTATCAAGAATGCTGTTCTTGAGAGGGATCAAGATGGTAAAGCAGTAAGATTCTGAGCTTACCTCCTCCCATGGGCATAAAATTAAAATGGAAACACAACATTCCAAAATCTATGGGATGCAGCAAAAGCAGTTCTAAGAGAGAAAGTTATGGTGATACAGGCCAACTTCAGGGAAAAAAAACTGAGATAAACAATCTAACCTTACACCTAAAGGAACGAGAAAAAGAAAACAAACAAAACCCGAAGTTTGGTAGAAGGAAGGAAATAATTAAGATCAAAGCAGAAATAAATGAAATTGAAACTAAAAAGAAATAGAAAATGTCAATAAAACTAAGAGATAGTTCTTTGAAAAGATAAACAAAATTTTTATATCTTTAGCCAGACTTAACAAAAAAAAAACCAAAAAACTGAGAGAGAGGCCAAATAAATAAAATCACAAATGAAAGATAAATTACACCCAACACCACAAAAATACAAAGGCTCGTAGGAGATTACTATGAACAAGTGAAAGCTAACAAATTGGATAACCAAGAAGAAATGGATAAATCCCTAGAAACACATAATCTTCCAAAACTGAATCAGGAAGGAGAAAATCTGAACAGACTCATTTCTAGTATGCCATTGGATTAGTAATCAAAAAACTCCCTCCCAAAAAACCAAACGTCCAGGACCAGACAGCATCAGAAGTGAATTACAAACATTTAAAGAAGAGTTAATGCCTATCCTTCTCAAATTATTCTAAAAAACTGAAGAGGAAGGAACATTTCTGAACTCATTCTCTGAGGCCATCATCACCTTGAAACTCAAACCAGACAAATACACTACAAAGAAAATTACAGGCCAACATCTCTGATGAACACAGATGCACAAATCCTCAACAAAATATTACCAAACCAAACTCAATAATAGATCACACACCGTGATCATTGGGACTTATTTCAGGGATGCAAGGATGGTTCAGTATGCACAGATCAGTCAATGTGAGACACCACATTAACAAAAAGAATAAAAATCATATTATCTCAATAGATGCAAAAAAAGCATTTGTCAAAATTCAATATCCATTTATGATAAAAACTCTCAATAAAACGAGTATAGAGGGAACATACCTAACATAATAAGGGCCACAAATTACAAACCCACAGCTGTCTTACTCAATGGTGAAAAGCTGAAAGCATTTCCTCTAAGATCGGGAATAAGAAAAGGATGCCCACTCTCACCACTTCTTAGTCAACATAGTGCTGGAAGTCCTAGCCACAGCACTCAAATAGGCAAAAGAATAAAAGGAATCCAAATAGGAAGGAAAGAATTAAAACTGTCACTATTGACAGATGACATGATACTATATATAGAAAACAATGCAGACTCTGCCGAAAAATTATTAGAATTAATAAATAAACTCAGTAAAGTTGTGGGATACAAAATAAACATACAGAAATGCATTGCATTTTTATACACTAATAATGAGCTATCAGAAAGAGAAATTCTAAAAATGTCATTCACAATTACATCAGAAAGACTAAAGTACCTAAGAATATATTTAACAAAGGAGATGAAAGATCTATACTCTGAAAACTGTAAGACAAGGATGCAAGAAATTGAAGACAACACAAAAAGTAAAAATAATAAATACCATGCTCATGGTTTGGAAAAATTAATACTGTTAAAATGTCCATACTACTCAATGCAATACATAGATTTAATGCAAAATCTACCAAAATATCAATGGCATTATTCACAGAACTAGACTAATATCCTAAAACTTGCAAGAAACCAAAAAGAACACTAAAAAGCCAAAACAATCTTAAGAAAAAAAAAGAACAGAGCCAGACGTGTTATGTTCCCTGATTTGAAACTATACTTCAAAGCTATAATAATCAAAATTGTATAGTACTGGCACAGAAACAGACTCATATGTCAATGAAAGAGGATAGAGAGCCCAGAAATAAACTCATGCTTTTCTGGCCAATTAACCTCTGACAAAGGAGGCAAAATATATGCACTGCGGAAAAGACAGCCTCTTCAATAAACAGTGTTGGGAAAGTGGGACAACTACGTGCAACAGAATGAAACCGGACCACCTTCTTACATTATATTCAAAAATAAGCCCAAAATAGATTAATGACTTACATGTAAGATCTAAAACATAAAACTCCTAGAAGAAAGCATAGGCAGTACGCTCTTTTACTTAGCAATATTTCTTTCGGATATGTCTCCTCAGGCAAGGGAAGCAAACACAAGAATGAAAAATGGGACTTCAAAATAAAAAACGGTTTTTGCATAACAAAAGAAACCATCAACAAAATGAAATGTCAATCTACTGAATAGGAGAAAATATTTTCAAATGATATACCCAATATGAGGTTAATATAAAAGAACTAGTACAACTAAGTATCAAAAAACAATCAGTTTGAAAAATGGGCAGAGAACCTGAATAGACAATTTTCCAAAGAAGAATTACAGATGGTCAACAGACACATGAAAAGATGCTCCACATTACTCACTATCAGGGAAATGCAAATCAAAACCACAATGAGATCTCACTTCACACCTGTCAGAATGGCTATTATTAAAATGATAACAAATAACAAGTGATGGCAAGGATGTGAAGGAAAGGAACCATTGTGAACTTTTGGTGGGATTGTAAATTATTGCAGCCACTATGGAGGCATAGAGGTCCTCAACAAATTAAAAAGAAAACTGTCATATGATTCAGCAATTCTTAGTATTTACCTGATGAGAACAAAAACACTAATTTGAAAGATATGTGTACTCTAATATTCATTGCAGCATTATTTACATAGCTGAAATATGAAAGCAATCTAAGTGTCCATTAATAGAAGAATAGACAAAGATGTGGTGTGTGTATATATATATATATATTTATATATGAATATTACTCAACTATTAAGAATAAAGTCTTGCCACTTGTGACACCATGGTTGGATCTAGAGGACATTGTGGTAAATGAAATAAATCAGAGGAAGACAAATACCATATGATCTCACTCTTATGTGGAATCTAAGAAAACAAAATAAATGAACAAACAAAACAAAATAAAAACAGATACATATATCTGAAGAACAGACTCATGTTTGCCTGAAGGAAAAGCTGGGGGTTGAGGTAAAATAGGGGAAGATTAAGAGGCACAAACTTCCAGTTATAAAATAAATGTCATGAGTATGTAATATACAGCAAAAGGAATATGGTCAATGACACTGCAATAACTTTGTATGGAGACAGATGGTTACCAGACATTATGGTGATCATTTCATAGTATATTTAAATGTCAAATCATTATGTTGTACACGTGAAACTAACATAATATTATGAATCAACTATAATTCAATAACAGATTATAAATTAAAAAAAATCCCAGTTATATCTCAGAAAATGCTATCGTTGACACACCAAATTGATTTTATGACCTTTTTCTTTCCATTTGAAAACGACTGTTATAAAAAATGGTACATATCTAATGGTCATTCTTTATCATATTTATTCTGCTTTAGTTTTATAGTAGCACTTATCTTCAGCTTATACGTTATGTGTTTACTTATTTCTTTGCTACCTTTACTCCACTAAGATGAACAGTCATGAATGCAGGAGCTCTGGTTGAGGACTGTATGTCCTACATCTATTGCAATGCCAGATATTTAGTGAGCCCTCAAAAGACACATGCTGATAAATAAATAATTCAGGCATGATGCTATGCATGAGATATTTAATAGGCTATAACAACAAAAATGCATGATGGATTAGATCTGAGGCATGAATGAGACAAAAGTTTAAGGACCTACCTTATGATTCTGGCTTACTCAGCTAAATGATGGTAGCATTCCCTAAGGAATACTACCGTGCTCTGGACAAGGTATTTGAAGGAAGAAACAGGTTTAATTTTGGACCAGTGGAGGTTGAGTTGTTTTAGAACATGTAAGACGAGACATCAAGCCCTGAATCACCTGAATGAAACTGGCACAGGTCCCATGCAAGACATTCAAATTCAAAAGTTCAGGTGCAATATATCATTTTTATATTATCTTTTTCTTTCCCATTTCTTTTCTCTATACAACTTTTTTCTTAGGTCACAAATCTAAGAATATAAATTACCTTCTTTTCCACGTGTTCTGAAATATGAGATTATACTTTCTCATTTTAGAAGCCACAAAAGATCATATTTTTAAAATTTGAAAACTTATATGGTTATGTGGGTAAATAAGGAAAAGATGAAATTTCCCACAATTTCCCTGACAAAACATATTGGAATCCACAATGTTACTGTCAGAGAAATATTTGACTTTTTTAATTCAGAAATTGGATGGGCTAGCTATGGGCTAATCCAGGGCCAGAGACTTCTCAAGCTATTGGTGTGAATATCACTGAGTGAACGTAATGCTGCGACAGGGACTGAAGTCTCAGCTTCCTGGCCAGAGGGGTCCTCGAGGGGAGGCTGTGAATCACACAGTGGCAGCATTTAGCCCAATATGCAAGAAATCATTTCAAGCCTAGCCATTTCTCTGTCACCCTCTTTCTCGAAACTTGCTTTTAATTAAACACTGATAACAGGAGAACAATACAAAGAAAAGAATTTGTTGGGAAAAACTTAAGGCAACATTCCCTGAATGTTCAATAATAATAATTATACTTTGTAGAAAAAAATGGCAATCTTGATTAAATTCATTTGAGAATTGCAGCGTTAAATAGGTGATGTAGGTTGACTTACTCTGGGACTCTGCACTATATAATGTGTATTTTATGTCTCCAAGAAGATTATCTAACATCCAGGTGATTCAGAACACTTTGTGAAGGTGAAATCTTTTTTTTTGTTGTTTTATTTCTTTTTTTTTTAGGTAAATATCTCAAGATATGATTCATGGGACATATTTTGAGACATGCTAGCATGGGTTCTTTTGTTATCGCTCTTATATTAAAAATTATATTTTTGAAAAGGGATATATCATCACAAAAGTCCCAGATTATGGTAGGAAGAACATCAAGGCCACTTCTCATTCTTATCAGTCTCATTGTGAACATTGTGTTTTTTATTTGTAAAGAGAGGTAACAGTAATCCTAGCCTAAACAATTAAAAACAAGAAAACATTATCTTCCACAGTGTCGCAGAGTCTTCATGGGCCCAAATAGATCTAATTTTGAGGATTTTATTTTACACTTAAATTTCTTTCAGAATTATTTTCAAAAATTTTTTATTGGGGGAAAAGTAAGTAGGTTTACTTATTCATTTATTTTTAGAGGAGGTACTGGGGATTGAACCCAGGGCCTTGTATATGCTAAGCACGCACTCTACCACTAAGCTATACTCTTCCCCCTCCATTTCTTCTTATTCACATCTTCTTTTAACTTTTAAACACTACAGTGTCACTCCTCTTTCCTGCTCAGCCCAGGAATTATTGCCAGGGGACCTCTTTCAAGTCTTATAATCGAGACAGAAATTAAAGACTTTCTGTGTTATTTTTAATTTTCAATCATGGCTTCTAAAATCGAGGTTCAAATCTTTTTTAAGAGCTATGGCTAGAACTGTAATGGCTTGTTTGGGGGAAAATTATATTTGTTTCAATCAAGGCAGATCTCTCACCAAAACTTACACTCACAGGATAGATAAGAACAGGAACATCTCCTGAGCACTTCCACATCATTTTGGATGTCCAGGTCCAAATGCATTTATTAGAGACAGAAAGGACCTGGTTCAGTAGGAAGGTGCAATCACAGAACCCTGAAGGACTGTGTACTAGTTATATTATAGAGCTTTACAGGGCAAGGGTAGCAGTACCAAATATATCCTTAATAAGACCACTTGGTTTACTTGAGATTGGGGAGGTTGGGGTGGAGAAGCACATTTTACACAGCTTGAGTTGTCACTTGTCACAAGAGGATTGTTTACATTTATAACTGAAGAAAAAACAAAGCGGAAATGTTAATATATTTTTCATTTTTGAACCCAACTTATAAAATTCTTGAAATAGAGTAGATGGCCAATAGTAGCTTTTAAATGTTTTATTACTAGGTTGAAAGCAGCTGACAGACTTCCAGAATAAGTATAGTTTTGGGGTTTTTTTTTTAAGAAAACCTGAACAAATTGGTTAATGCAAAAAATTAGTGTCTTTTTTTTTTAATGTGAGAGTTGGAGATGAAGGTGACAGGGGAGATGTGGAGTTCATGGGGCGACTAGGTACGCATAATTGTAAAGTTTTAAGAGACAGCAAATGATGGTTTATATGCTACAAATACCATACATTTGAAAATAATTGTTGTTTTTCCCAACTGTGCTAACTCCTAAGCTAGCTGCTACGTAGGAGTCATCCATCACTGAGAAAAAACAGACTTTGACAGTTGATAAATGCATACCTAACCATACCACACAAAGCTAACCAAAGCGAGAAGTCTGCAAATCTGCAGTGTTCCAGTTGAGTATTCAGCTGATACTGATCAGCACTTGCATGTGAGGGAATTACATGCGGCTGAGAAAAGAACCACCTGAAAGGACTGGCAGGAACAATGCTTGGCATTCACGTAGGACCTGGAATTGTATTAATTTCACCAGCCAGACTGGAGACCCTCATGATTCATGGGGCACTGGGTAGAGCCCACAGATGGTTTTCGTCTCAGTGTTGGGAGGAAAATAGCCCTCGAATAAGCATCGTTCTGGTCCCTCCTAACAAATACTAAAAGTAAGGCCACCTCTTCCACCAAAGTCAGACTGTTTCCAAGTATCACAATGACATCCCAGGATGAAGTTCAAGCATACCAATAAGAATTTTTAAAAATCGGCCTCCCCTAAAAAAGGCAAAATTGAAAAGTCTAACATCCAATGAAAAATAACAGGCATTCAAAGCAGTAAGAAAATATTATCCATAAGCAGAAGTCAAACAATCAAAAACAAACTAGAACTGGCTTAGGTTTAGAATTAACAGGATATTAAAACAGGAATGTATTCAGGTAAACGGGTGGTGCAGACTGAGGGAGGCAGAGCTTCAACTGAATTTCAAATTCTCCATGCACAGCACTATTTTGCCCATTCTGCACTCCCACAAACCACTACAAATGACAGAGCGGGGTGAGGAATTCAATACCCCGGCATCCTCAGCCTCAACTGGGACAACTCTGAGGCTTGCTATACGTCACCATGGGACTCCCTCATAGAATGATGCCAGTTGTGCAAAGTGGGTACTTTTTATTTTGTTTCCTTTCTTCTCAGTCTGACTTTCTCACTCCCTTAATTTTGCCTCATAGTATCTTCTTCTAAATAAATTACTTGAGCTCAAATCCTTACCTTGGAATCAGCTTCTGAAGAAATCCAAGTTATGACAGTGACTATTCGGGAAGATTTATACTAAATATCTAGCTGAAATGCTTGCTGCTGTTAAGGAAGACAAGTGGTGAGCTCAGTCTGAATTCCCATAATTGAGATTTTGGTTTCCATTCCGCATAAGTGTTTGGCTATTTCAGATAAATAAGTGATATTTACCTCCATTTTCTTGTCTCTTCTTTAACTTTTTTCATTATGTGCTGTGTGTTGGGGGACAGAAGGAGAGGTGCTTGAACAGAACTTTCTTTCCTCTTTGAATACTAGCATCCTTCAGCAAACTAAAGCTTTGAAAATTTCCTGATGGATTTAGAATGGAAACACCCAATGGCACACTAGGATCTTCTCTTATGTACTAGCTGAATTTTAAATAAGAAGTTCTCAATATATTTGCCTTCAGACATTATCTTACTCATTTATAGCCAAAAAAAAAACCCACTTTATTCCAACTAGATATTTTGCCCATTTCTTCATTTTTCTATAGGTACCAAAAGTCTGTCGAGATAAGATTCATGGAGTTACCGTTACAATTTTTGTCACCTTAAGGTAACATGTTAGCATTATTAAAGCGTGGGATTTCCTTTTATTAATGAGTATTTTATTGCTATATTTTATCTAAGAAAAAGTGAAAGGGATGACTATTTTGTGTGAATATTTTCAGGATGAAGTGGAGGAAATATTTTGTGATAACTAAAGGGTCCTCTGTTGAGACAATATACAATAAAACTTCCTACCATGATCATGAACAACCATAAGCATTTCCTTTATTTTTAACATAAATAGTTTTGCGAGTTCACATCTCTTCAGGTTTTAAGGAATTAGTTTTGAATTTTTGTTCGTCAGAAAGAGTAATGATTTGTTTGAGATTAGTTTGCTCTTTGATGGAACAAACCACTGTATTTCCACTTGGGAATAATCATTTAGTCCTGATGCCTAAATAAATGTC